GCCAAGGGTCAGACTCTGCTGAACGGATAACATCATCATCATCATCATATTATTGTGCATTCTAAACAATATAAGAAAACTACAATTTAAACATATACTTAACTTGGTTTTGAGATGATTTTTTTTGACAAAAGTATACTCTGGATAATTGAAGAGCTGGAGTCCTAGAATCTAAATAAGTGGACGTATGAAAAACATTTTGAATTACAAAACACTAGGAGGTTTAAATGCCCTGTTTCAGACTTTGAAACAATTATACTAGGCTTGAGCCACTTACACGCAACCTCACTAAAAATGTCCTGGTGCTCATTCAGTCATTTCAGTTTTCTAAGTTCAAAATTGGTCTATTTTTCATTCAGCATAATTAATTTGGGCTCAGATCAGGGGTGGGATTCTACGGATTCGCACCTATTCTCTAGAACCAGTTGTTAACATTCTAAACAGTTCGGAGAACTGGTTGTTAGAAGAAATTACTAGCCTAATCCTGTAAGGAAGGCAGGAAGGAAACATTCTGGTGTTCCTTACAGAAACTGCCTCTCCGTTAACCTTTATTACATTCTTGGCAGGACTAGACTTCCTGTCTTAGGAACATCTCTGGAGTTTTTTTCCCCTCCTTTGATGGTACTTTGCTTGTGTGGAGTGACCATTCAAAGTTACAATGGCATTGAAAAAAGTGACTTATGACCATTTTTCACACTTAGGACTGTTGCAGCATCCCCACAGTCATGAGAGGCCAGGCGAGGAGATACATGCCTCGATGTGAGTGATATTGAGTTAGCCACGCCCACAGAACCGGTTGTTAAAAAATTTGAATCCCACCCCTGGCTCAAATGGACTGTTTCAAGCTTGAAATGATTTCTGAAGATTGAAATAGTTTTGGAATATTTCAGAATTCAAAAGATTTTGCAAACCATTGAGAATAATCTTTTGATTAAATCAGTTTAGGAAGGCAAGACCAGTCTTATCATCAGATGTGACAGAAATAAAATTTCAATCTAAGAGCAGGCCAACTACTACCACTGATTTTAGAATTGCTATTATGTTTTATGTACATTTCATAGATATTTATTAGTATCATTTAAGTCTGCATTCATAACCGAGTAAAAAATTATACATTTGGAGTTTTGAAAGTAAACAAGCCCATTTTTTATATATAAACAAAGTGTACACTGAATTGCTATTTAGAGTCTGCTATATTGCTGAAATAAGTCTGTCATATTTTGGCAGCTTCAGTCAGACTCTGACTTAGATCTGCTCATTCATTCAGCTTTTATCCCACCTTTCTACTGAATCAGATATTTAAGGCAGCTAACAAAACTAAAGAAAATGTGAAAAAATAATATAAATTAAAAATAATGCTGAAATTAAACATTTTTACCCAGATAAGCAAAACATACTGTATTTTCTTATTTTCTGCAGCTGACAACAAATTAAGCCAGAGAAATTCCTTTCTTTTGAAACATTTATTTCTGCATGGCTGTTCTTCATGTACTAACTTCCCAGACAGATATATAATAGGATTGGCAATTCTCAGTCAGATTACAAGAAGTTTAAAGCTTTAAGGATTAATAAAAGCACTTTAATTAATCAGTTGACAAATGCACATTTTTCATACAGGCATCATCCCAGTATCTGACCCTGATTAAGAACCTAATTTCTGTATATGAAATATTCTATATCAAAGTGGATGGAAGCATATAGTAAGGTTCTGTCTTGGGTCCTATGCTATTCAATATTTTCATCAATGACCTAGATGAGGGGAGTGAAAGGGTACCCATCAAATTTGCAGATGAGACCAAAGTTGGGATGGGGGAATTACTAATACTTTGGAAGATAAACTCAAGATTCAGAAGGAACTTGGTAGACTTGACATGGGGCCCTATCCAATAAAATGCAGTTCAGTGGTGAGAAAAGTAAGGAAAAAAGTATTTTTTTCCCCAGACCTTCTTCAAAATTGCAAGACTACAACCAGCAAAGCTCTGTGACTTGGATACGTTTCTTCCTACTAACAGAATAATAGAGTTGAAAGGTATCTTGAAGGTCTTCAACTCCAACCCCATGCTCAGGCAGGCATCCCTATACAATTTCAGACAAATGCTGTCCAATCTCTTTTTAAAAACCTCCAGTGTTGTAGCATCCACAACTTATGGAAATCATTTCACTGATCAGTTGTTTTGTCAGGAAATTTCCCCTTAGTTCTAGATTTATCTCTCTCCTTGATTAGTTTCCACCCATTGCCTCTTGCCCTGCCCTCAGGTGCTTTGGAGAATAGCTTGGTTCCCTCTTCTGTGTGGCAGCCCCTTAGATATTGGAACCCTGCTATCATGTCACCCCAGGCCTTCTTTTCATTGCACTAGACATACCCAATTTCTGCAACCATTCTTCATATGTTTTAGCCTCCAGTCCCCTAATCATTATTGTTGCTCTTCTCTGCACTCTTTCTAGAGCAGGGGTATCAAACTCAAGGCCTGCAGGCCACATTCAGCCTGTGGGGTGCTTAAATCTGGCCCACCAGGCTGATCTGAAAATATCAAAGGACTGGCCCATGGTGCCTCTGCCGGCCCAAGTGGGCCATAGGGGGGGGGGGGTGTGCAGCTCTCTTGTGGCCCATTTTCAGCCTCCCTGGCCTCCTGCAGAACTCTGCTGACCAGAAATGGGTCACATGGAGGCCTCGCATGGAGGCCATGCAGCCCATTTTTGGCCAGGAGAGTGCTGCTGGAAGGCGAGGAGGCCGAAAACAAGGACGTGGCCCTCCAGGCCCCATTTGGCCAGCAAGGTGTTGCAAGAAGAGTCTGTCCCATCTCCCCACCCCCCACCAGCCCACCGAGGAGAATTACAATGCTGATCTGGCCCTCAAAGAAATCCAGTTTGACACCCCTGTTCTAAAGCCTAAACATCTTTTTTATATCATGGTGACCAAAACTGAATGCACTATGGTCTTACCAAGGGGTTGTAACACTTGATCATGATTTTATTCCTCTATTAATGCAGCTTGGATTGATTTGGATTTTTTGGCAGCTTGAACACATATTTAAGTGATTATCCCCTAGTACTCCAAAATCCTTCTCACAGTTAATACCATTGAGCAGGTACTGTTTTTTCCCCCTCTTGTATAAAGATAGAAAGATAAATGCAAACAATGAGTTAAGCAATTCTACTTTCTCCATGCTTGCTGTTACTTTCTTGCCGTTTTTTTCCCCATTATGGACCAATAATTTAATGTTAACATGTTGAAAAAAGCCTTTTTTTGTCCTTGTTATTTTTGACAATTGTTGCCAGCCTCAGTTCATTTTGAGCCTTAGCTTTCCTGATTTCACTTTTGCAGGTTCAGGCTATTTGCTGATATTCTGCCTTAATTATGTGCCCTTCTTTCCATTTTTTATACTTGTCCTTTTTATCTTTCAGTTTATCAGAAAGTTCCTTGTGCACCCATACTGGTTTATTTTGAGCTCTCTTATTTTTCTTTTTCATTGGAATTGTGCAAGACTGGGCTTTTATAATCTCACTTTTCAAAGTTTCCCAAGCTTCTTGTGTTATTTCCCATTGAGGATTCTCATCTGTGGAATCCTTCTCAAAGCTCTCTCTAAGTTAATTGATAACAGCTCTTTTGAAGTCCAAGACTAGTTTGACTTTGCTCTATTCCTTGTGCTTGCATTATGTTGAATTTCAATGTTGCATGGTCACTCTTCCAAGGGTCTTCAACCCCTTCTATAATTTTATCTCTGTTAGTGAGAATTAAGTCCCATATGGCTGACCCTCTTGTTTCCTTCTCTACCTTTCCTGTAATCAATAGGCTGCAACTCCTGTTATTGCTTAATTGTTTTCATGCTATTTCCCACAACAACTTTATTTTCTGATAAAGATTAAATTCTACTGGAACATAATGAATTAGTATAATTAAATAGGACTTTTTAAAGTAAATTAAAGAGAGAAATAATGTGTTCCAGTGTAGATTTCCTTTTTACTTTGAAAAGATATGCAAATAATACCCTTGATTGTTCTAGCTATAACAACTATGTAATTCGACAATTGCTATGAATCCTCTATTGGCTGCTTTTATTATACCTAATGACATGCTAGAATTCCATACCTCATTCCATTGCTGATCATTTCCAAGAAAAGGTGCACTGCTGTGAATAAATATTTGATCCTTCATGTATTATGACCCCCAAACCAGATATGTTCTTCTCCCATGTTTACTTTCTTCTTGTTCTATGTTACTATAACATATTTTTTTATTGTTTATGTTTAACTTGTTCCAATAATAATTCCACTAGTGATGTTAGCATGCAACTGCGTATATAGACAAGAGAAGATAACCTCTTACTAATATAAAATGGATATTCCTCATTTCTTGGAAATTACAGTATTTCAATAAAGTATTTGTTATTCCATATTTTGCTGCTCTTTAAACTTTGAGGTTATTTTCTTTTATAATAACATTGAAACTACATTACTTCGGTATTAGTCAAAATAAATCCTAAACCATAGTCTAAAAATATTCATTCACAAGTTATTAAAATTTGATTGACCATTGAAAGAGATAATTGATATTTAGGTTTCTTGCTATGAATTCTAGATGGGAATTCTTTTTTGATTATGGCAGATGTTTACCCATGTTTTACCTGGCTTCCATATCTTTATTTAGTTGTCTTTTTAAAAACAAATTTAAAATATTTGGAAGTTCAGGAATTGCCAAAAGTAAACATAACAGTACACCTTTATTGTGTATTTTTATGTGCTTTTTTATCTTTTTATGTGCTTTTTTATCTTTTCCTACTCCAAATCCTTATTTTCCATTAAGAATTGCTGAGAACCACAGAAACTGCAATCAAGTATATTTTAAAAACATCAGTTGAGAAAGCTGACTTTTAACTAAGCAACCAATGTTAAAAGATGCTCACCATGTCTATTGGCTGAGGATTTATTAAATCCATTTTCAAAATGTCGACTGCTAGAGTTATTAGCCTTTGATACATAAGGTTTTGTTTCTTTTTCAGAATTCATACCCCAGGCTTTTGGAATGCCTTTATCACAAGTAATAGCAAATGATCGGGCATACAAATTGAAGCAAGATGTTCACAGAGAAGAGCAGAGAGATGTTTCAGAACTTGTAACGTCCCTTTTACCTTTTGGGAGTAAAAGACAGAACAAAGAACTCTCAAGCAGTAATTCATCTCTTAGTTCCACCTCGGAAACACCAAATGAATCTACTTCGCCCAATACACCAGAACCAGCCCCCAGGGCTCGGAGAAGAGTAAGTGCCTATACATTGCTTAGTGGCTACTGCAAATATTGTGGGACCTTCCTTTGCTTACTGAAGCTGGAGTCTCTGATTTGTTAGTTTATACTAAAACTAAAGCCAGCCCTAGTAAAAATGATAGAAATTAGTATTTTAATGGTCATTGCCTTTCCCAGCTGTTCGTGGGAGAGAACAAAATAGACGCAAATCTCTTGCCAGCACCTCAAGGGACATAAGGATTCTTTGGAAACTTTCCTTTTCCCCAGTCAGTTTCTACTTAGTATTTCAAATTACTGAAAAAGAAACTCCTTTCTCTGTTGTGTTCTCTCTCCTCCCCCTCCCTCCCTCCCTTTCAAATGCACACGCACAAACCCAGATATTTCTCCACCTCATCTCAGTCTCAAATATGTTTATAGTATAAAAGATGGTTTATGTAGTTACAAGATTAATGGTCAGTCATTTAAAAACATTGGAAGCTGCCATATACTGAATCAGTCCACTTACGCATCTATTATCAACAAGTAGCATATTTCCAGAATTTGTTTAATCTGGAGTTTTTCCAATCCTGCCTGTGACATTTTTCTCTCTGCAGTGCATACAGTATGCTGCATCAGTGAATTCATATTGCATATTAAAAATTACTGGTTCCGTCCTAAAAGAACCTAATAATTCTCATGAATTATCTGATAATCTTGCCATCTTTTGAATAAAGAATGTTTGTGTTTTCATACTGAGAATCCATGGGCGCCTAATAATCTGAAGTCTGGATTCAGTGACTTTGTACATATGTTATTTCAAAAAGCAAAACTTATTGCTTTAACCTACAATTTCATCTTTCATTCCATGAGAGGTAGTCCTCAATTTATAATGGCAATTGGAATTTCCATCGCTAAGAAATGTCATAAAGCTCAACATCAGGGGACCATATTGCTTAGCAACAGAAATCCCAATACTCCCTGTTGCTGTTGTCAACCAAATCCTACCAGTTGTTAACTAAGGACACCCTTTCCAGCCCCAATCCTTGGTTCTTCTAAGGAAATAGACAGCCTCCGTTCAACTCCCCCAACTGCCTATTCATCCCCATCTCTGCCCTTTTGGCTGTCCTGCACCCTGCCTTTTGGGGTGTCATGCAGCCCCAGAACTATGTGATTCATGGGCTTCATGGCACACTATGGCTCTGGGGCTGCAAGAAATCCTTGACCCACAGCCAAAAGTTACAGCTGCCCTGGGAAAAATCAGCACAGGCCCATAACACAGCATGAAGCTGTAACTGCCCCAGCTCAATATGAAGCCACAGGCAACCCAGCCTGGCTCAGCAGTACAGTGTGAAGTCTCAGTCATCCCAATCCAGCAGCATGGCACGAAGTCATAGCCACCCACTCTCTTTCCCAGTTGACTTTCACCACCTTCTTGCCCCTACTCCTGATGAGATGTCTGGCCAGGCTATCCACAAGGCAGCTGCTGGCCACTCAAGACCTTCTTTCTCAGTTCTCGTATGAAAACTGACATTCGTGACTGTTACTTGGAGACTGGGCATAAGCACATTTTATTCAGTGCTACTGTAGGTTTGGATGGTTGCTGAATGAGTGGTTGTAACTCAACTACCTGTAATACTATTTCTTTAAAGTGCAGATGGCAAGAGTATTTGATGCTGCTTTAGGAGACTGCAGCTAAGTCATTTTTGATAGTTGAGGAATGTAATAACTATAGTATTTAGCTCACATACCTTTGGACTTATAGAGATTATGTATTTTGGGTCCCATATTACCTTTAATAATGCTATCGAAGAAAATGTTGCTCATTTAGTTATTTTTATAGATAGTAAGAGAGCTGTTCCAAATTATATGCTGTATTTTGTACACCAGAAGTCTTTCTGAATAAAAGTAAAGCTTCATTGTTTCAAATATCAACTATATACACTTTTTTAATTGCTACTCTATGAGGAATATGAAGACTAAGAAAAACCAAATACCATACCACATTTCTATTACTTTTTTCAAATTAGAAAATATGCATAATCCATCAGCTACAGTATCCTTCTGGGCAATTGCAATTATAAGCATTGTATTGGAGGCTGAACAGCCGTGCCTGTAGTTGCTCCAGAGTGGGGTGTTTAATATCTGCATAAAGACATTGGGGGGGGGGGGCTTGTTTGCAGTATCATCAGTATGTGAAGATTTACAGTTGTATATCAAAAACTAGACCAGGGATGTTGTTAAGTCTTGAACTAATTCTACAAGCTGGATCAAAACTAAGTCAAATCCCTGAAAGACTGAGGTGCTATTTGTTGACAATCAAAAATGACCTTTTGGGGATTACCTGACAACAGTGATTCATGCCCTGATCACCTTGCAGATAGACTATTGCAATGCATTCTATATTGGAGATCACTTGGAAGCTTCAGTTGATCCAAAATGCAATGGCCCTCTTGCTTGTTATCGGTAGGAGAATTACAAGTGTGCACACATGCTAAGTTCACCACACTGTTCATTGGTTTACTTCCAAATCCAGTTTGTGATGCAAGTCACCCATGAAATCCTATATCACTCAGCTCCTCATACTTATAGGATCATCCTCAGGACAGTTTAAATGACAATCTGTTAAAATTAAAAAAGTTACTTTTATTCTATTCATACAAACAATTAACAAGAAGTTTTGACATCAAACTTTGTCACCATAATGTGACCTGCAATACTTAAAAATATGCCCCAATGAATTGTTTCCTCATGGTAAATCTCTTTTGTCAGTAAATGTTCTGTATCCTGTACAGATGCAGATAGATAAACTCCATAAAACATCCATAACAAAGTACTTTTATTGGTTCATCAGGTATCCTCATTCATCACATTTGTGACAAAGTTCTTCTTTAATGACCAATCCTTTGCATATCTGTCTTGTAGGTAAAAAGATGATTATCTTCTATCCTTTTTCTCTCATCTCGTGGCGATAGAGGTAGAACAGTTACCACGAGTCCGTGAGTTCAGCCAAGAGTGAGGATAACTCCTCCTACCCATCGAGGGTCAATTTAGTGACCAATCAGGATTACAGATGTGGTCACGTGATATGGACTACATTTCCCAGGATACCTTAACTACATTTACCATGATGCATTCCCTTAAGGGGACAGCTTACAATTGCTACCTAACTATCCAAATCCCATTAACTCTAAACTGTCTGGACAGCACAGTAAACACTGAACAAAAGTTGAAGGATTTCTCATCAAAACAGTTGTCTCACTGGTTGTATACTTCAAGTTGCTTCAGAATACACATATTTGCTATTTATTTGTTTGTTTAACTTTATTGTTTACCTTAGTTTCTTTTATATTTACACAATAATAAGACTTTTGTCAGGACCACCATCACCAGCTTAGTGCCTTTCTGGTGCCCTGCTATTAGAACAGGAGGGGGGAAGGAGGATAGGAGTTTATTGTGTGCTATTGCTGTAATTTCAAATGTGGGAAATAGGAAGTGGGGAGTTACCATGGAAGAAGACCACATCACCAAACTGGCTTGCACCAGGATCTTCAAGGCCGTTTGTCATGAGAATGGAATGTTACCAGTTTGACACCTCAGAGTTTATCAAAACATCTTACTGGTATCACATTGGCTGGCTGGGGGATTAGTCATGGGGGGAGGGAGTAGAAAATGAAAATAGCATTTTGCATGGGAATACCCCATTCCACCTGATTTTATTGCAACCAGTTTATTTCAGTAAAAGTTCTTTTGCTTCAACAAAATGGACTCACAAGTCTTACTTTCCTAAAAGAGTAGATTGGGGCAGGCCTGACATTAAACGGAATCTGCAATTGTGGTCAACCCAGAGAGTTATAGCAATGCCTTCCCATTGCTAACCTTCTAAAAGCAAATAGGGGAGATAAGCCTAAACCCAGTCAACTTCTCAAATGGACATGGAATATCTGGTGGTGTTCGAAAAACTGAAACTGCTGTTCGCAGCCAAACCAGTGTTGAAGCACACGGATCCCACTGCTTCATTTGTCATCCAAGTGGATGCTAATGCTGCAGCAGTCAACATAACCAGCATGGAACCCTGCAACTATGTGCTTATACATCCAAAAAACTCACAGACTAAACGCAGGTGGGTGGTTTGGGAAAAAGAGGCTTATGCAGTGTGTTGGGCACTCCTAACCATGAGACATTTCCTAGAGGAGAGTAAAATACCCTTCAAGATGTAGACTGATCATAATGATCTATAGGCACTAAAGAACCCCTGGAGGCTATCGCCCAAGCAGGTCTGGGCACAGTACTTTAATCGCATTGGGTTCACTCTATGCTACCCCCCCCCCGGGGGGAAAACTTCCTTGCAGATGCCTTGTCCCAGATGCCTCAGTATAACAGACCAAACCAGAACTGATTAGACCAGTAATCCCATCCCAACTCTCAGCCCCATAACCACCCGAACTCAAGATAAAATGAAACACCAGCTAGACAGCAATGTAGCCGCAGTCCTCAGAGTTGCACTAAAACCAACAAGTGGTTTCAATCCCATAAAGGCAAATACTCTATGTGAGATGGATTGACTTGGGTGGACCACCACTGTCTTCATGAAGTTGATAAATGAAGACAAAGACTGGTGATCCTAGGGAAAAGCCACAACACTAAAACTGCAAGGGATTTTGGGTTTATAAAAAACTTGCACCTAATTAAGAGACAATTCTGGTTGCCATCTCTAAATAAAGACATTGAAAGCTACGTGATTAGTTGCCCAAGCAATGGGGGAAAACCCCATGTCTCTCCCAGCCATTGGCTGAGCGTTGAACGTACTTTGGAGGGAAATTTCCATGGACTTCCATATTGGATCTCCCTGAGAGTTCAGGAAACACAGTGATCTGGCTAGTGACATACCTATTCTCCAAGCAGGTGCATTTCATACCATGCCAGAAGATCCCCTCTGCATATACCCTGGCTAAAGTATTCATACAGCACATCTACAGACTGCACGGAGCCCCACAATGCATCTCAGATCAAGGGGTGCAATTCACCTCAAGGTTTTGGCAGGGATTTTTAAAACTTCTAGGGACAGATCTAGTCATCATCCCCCAAACTAAGGGGGGTGCAAATGTGAGATTCAGTCCTGGAACAGTACCTTAGATGCAACAGTACCTTAGATGTTAATTATCAACAAAATAATTGGATAGACCTCCTGCCATTTGCTGAGGTGGCTTATAACAATTCGGTGCACAGCACAATGGGTTTCATCCCATTCAAATTAGCCACTGGTCAGGATTTTGTTTCCATGCCTGAACAACCTCTAAATGATCCACCAATTGCCTCCCTGAAAGATTGGGTGTCCCAAATATGAAACACCTGTCCTGTGGTGAGGAAATCACTTTAGGAGAGAGACATGTATAAAAAACAGGCTGATAAAAAGTGAGTGAAACGTAAAGACTTTGTAGTAGGTGACCAGGTCAACAAAATATTTGCAGTCCAGACAGCCATCCAAAAAATTAGGACCAAAATATGTGGGCCCATTTTTCATTAAACAAATCATAAACCCCATAATCATGAATTGGACCTGCCAAAATTCCTTAGACAAGTCCACCCAATATTCCTTTGCAGCTTCCTCAAACCTGAAATCAAATCACCGCTGCATCCCCCTCATGATTGAAGATGAACAACACTTTGAAATTAAGGACATTCTGGATTCCTGTAAGCATTGAGGGAAGATACAGTACTTAATCACATGGAAAGACTTTCCCCCTTCCAAAACTGAGTGGGTTGACTGGTGCCACATTAAAGCTGCTAGATTTCTAAAACACTTCCACAACTAGTATCCTGACAAACTTAAGTAGCATTGTTACTGAATTGCTTTGTATTTCTCTCTCTTATTTTTTGTTCTGCAGGACTAATACCTATGTTCAGGGGGGCAGCAGGTCAGGTCCATCATCACCGGCCTGGCACCTTGCTGGTGCTCTGCCATTACAGCTGTGGGGGGGTGGTTATTGGGTGCTGTTATAACTTCAAACATGGAAAATAGGGAAGGAGGAGAGACAATGGAAGAAGACCAGATCACCAAACTGGCTTATACCAGGATCTTCAAGGCCATTTACCCTGAGAATGGAACATTACCAGTTTGATATCTCAGAGTTTATCAAAACATCTTACTGACATCACATTGCTGGCCGGGGGATTGGTCATGTAGGGAGCGAGTGTAAAGTGAAAAGAATAGATTTGTATTTTGTGTAGGAATACCAGATTCCACCTGACTTTACTGCAATCAATTTCTTTCAGTAAAAGTTCTTTTATGTCAACTAAATGGAGTCACGAAGTCCTACTTTCCTGAAAGAGTGAACTGGGGCAGGTTTCTACCACCTCAGGAATCTCAGAGGCCTATATTTCATTATAGGTTATGATCAGAGCAGAATGTTGACAGAGGTATAAATTTGCAGACACATATACACACTGATACATTTCTCATCAAGCAATTTGGATTCACAGAAAAATGCAGTCTTATTTATAACTACTGCAGAATAAACAGCAGATAAAATAAAACTATTTGAAAGTACAGATGCACAAGTTCCTAATATAGCTCTTAATGAACACTTTCAATAGATCATTTTAATGTTTATAGTTTTTAATCTGTATTTCAAACTTTTTATAAACTGTTTAATTTTTTGTTATTTGCCTTAAATACTTACCAGAAGAAATTAACTAATAATGATACTAACATCTAGTACAGTGGTGGGATTCAAATAATTTAACAACCGGTTCTCTGCCCTAATGATTTCATCCAACAACCAGTTCACCAAACTGCTCAGAATGTTAACAATTGGTTCTCTCGAACTGGTGCGAACTGGCTGAATCCCATCACTGATCTAGTAGATGTTACTAATAGAGAATTAACAGTAGTTGTTGGGCAAGAAGCCATTTCTAGACAAAGTTGTGTGGAAATGGGGATTTATTACCTTTGGAGAGATGTTGCTGTTCTTTTCTCATCTTAAGCAAAATGTTTGCGGTTCGCCATGTCTAGTGAGCAGCAATTTTCAGGTGAAAATACAAATGTTGCTGGGTATGGCAGCAATTGCCTCTGTTTTGATTGGGAATAGGAACAAAGTAAATGAGCTGGAGTAACTGATGAATGGGAGTGCATCAAACAATTACAGCCTCAGAATTACCTCAGTTTGGACAGGCATGCAACAAGTAGCATATAATATGACTAGTACAATCATGGCATTTGCCTTGAGCTACCTATTGAAAGCTGTAATAATCAGTTGTCACTTAGAGGGGAGTATTGAATAGATTTCTGCCCCAGTTAATACCTTCTGTTATAGGCTAATATTTTGTTTTATGATAGATTAAAGAGAAAAGTGTTCTTCATCTTTACCAAATGCATGTTTGTATATTGTAGGGTGCAATGTCAGTGGATTCTATTACTGATCTTGATGATAGTCAGTCTCGATTACTAGAAGCTCTACAGTTATCCTTGCCTGCTGAAGCACAGAACAAGAAAGAAAAATCCAGGGACAAAAAATTAAGCCTCAATCCTATTTACAGGCAAGTTCCTCGGCTTATAGATAGCTGCTGTCAGCATTTAGAAAAACATGGTAAGTATATTTTATCCAAAATATACACACATCTTATAGTACCTTGATTTGGAGTTTGAAAGCAATTTGATCGAATCCCCAAATTAAATAAACTTTCCAAATTTGAATGAATATAAACCAGACGTCACCTGACCAGGTGAACTGACTCAAAGTGTTGAATTAGATTAACGAATTGAATATGTGCCTGTTCAGAGAGCACTAAAAATTATATGGATTCTATTCAGTAGTGGGATTCAAATAATTTAACACCTGGTTCTCTGCCCTAATGACCAGCTGGGCAGGCGTGGGTGTGCCCATCACTCACATCGAGGGGCGCCTTGCCTCGCCCCGCCTCTCCTTGCCATGCCTGGCCCCACCTCACCCCTCCCCTCCCAGCCAGTCCTTGTCACACCTGGCCTTGCCTCTCCTTGACTTACAACCACAATTGAGCCCAAAATTTATGTTGCTAAGTGAGAAATTTATTAAGTGAATTTTGCACCATTTAATGACTTTTCTTGCCACATTTGTTAAGCGAATCACTGAATTTGTTAAGTTAGTAACATGGCTGTTAAGTGAATCTGGCCTCCCCATTGACTTTGCTTGTCAGAAGGTTGCAAAAGGGGATCACATGTCCCTAGGAGACTACAACCGTCATAAATGTGAGACAGTTGTCAACCATCTGAATTTTTATCACATGTCATGGGAATGCTGCAATGGTCGTAAGTGTGAAAAATGGTCATAAGTCACTTTTTTCAGTGCCATTGTCAATAAATGAACTGTTGTAAGTCAAGGATTATCTGTATAAAAATACAAAAAGCTTCTTTGCTTGCAAAAAGTTGCCCTAAATACAATCATTAAATTAAAAATGGGGGAATACACACTGAAGATCAATGAGTCACAGCCATCACAGAAACCTAAACCATTCTGTCTGAATACTTTCCTTTTTTTCTTTTTCCCAAAAATGCTTTATTTCAATCTACATATAACAACAATACATTAACAGTGTGGCATCAATATATCATACATCTCTCATTGCATATATTTATATTAATTCATACTTCTTCAATATTTATTTTAACCTTACTCTCTCCAAATGCCTACCCACCATATCAGTTAAACATACCTAATAATTCCATTATTCAATTTTCTCCCTGTTTTCATTTTATTTTTTTTAAATAAAAAATTCTCATTTGGCAAGCAGTACGGTTCCAGGTTTCACATCTCAATACAAACACGACCATAGTTACCTATTCATTTTATTTGTTTAATTTCATATTACATCATCCTTATCATTATTAAATATTAAACTTATCCAATCCCAATTCATGTTCTCTTATCTTATTTTACAATATTATCTAAAATTCTCATCTCAATTCTATGTTCATTTATTCAATTCCAAATCCTAATATATCCTTCCATTTTTCTTAGTATATTCTCATATCTTATTTTTCAATGTTATCTAAAATTCTCATCTCCTTTCTATTGTCATTTCTCATATTATTTTTTCTGTCACATTTGTCATTTTATCAATCCTTATCTGTAAATATAATTGTCCCCTCTAGTTAATAATTCGAGCTAACCACCTTCATTCTTCTTAATATCTCCCTATCTAGTATAAAAACACAAATATATATATTTTTCTCAGATTCCGCATTATATTTTCTCTATAAATGATCTATACATTGCAAAATGCTATTTTCAGTATATTCTTATACATCCCAACACATTGCCTTGCGGAATCCCCTTCCTTATCCCTTTTTTTAAACCCATTATCTCTCACTCTTTGAACAGTGTACCTTCTTTTCATCCTTGTTTGTTTCCTGTTCCTCTTTATTTTCTGGTCCTTTCTGTTAATTCCCTTTTTCCCCGTTCTTATTCCCCTCCTTTTCTCTCTCCCTCTTTTGATTTTCCTTTTGCACTTCCTTTTTCTGCTTTTCCTTCTCTCTTTAGCCATTTTCCGAATCATTCTCCCTTTTATCATCCCATCAGACCACAAATTTTTAATTCTAATTCCTTTTTCCCCCTGCTTAAATAATTGTTGTCATTAAGCAGTGGCAGTCATTAAGTGAAAGATGTGGTTGTTAAGTGAACACAGAAGTGTAAAGTGAGACCATTATTCACTATCGGTGTTTTTGCTAAAAACCAAAAGTAAATGCCAGGTTTTGGCAAAAATGTCATAAAATATGTTCACGTGACTGCAGGATGCTGTAAATGGCAGTAAATGCCATTTGCATTTACATACCAAGGTCTCAGCATGTGGCCACATTACCACAGGAAGAGGGCAGCTGTCAGAACTTTGGAGCCAGCTCATAAGTTCTTTATAACATCAAGCGGTAACCAGTTACAAGTTGAGGAATATTATATTAACAAGTAAAGCAATTTCTACTTCTACTGCAGAATTTGAGAATTTTGGGGTATTTTGTTTTTCTGTAGCTGCTGCGAGTGATAGTTTTAAAAAATAGTTAAAATTGTGAAATGCCACAAATATTTTGGTCAACTGTTGTATAATGTAGGGATATAATTGGGAGATACGCGAGGAAATCAAATTGTTGGCTTTACTTGGTTCAGGAAGGTAGCTATAATAAACCTTCAGATTATAAAATAATCTCCGGCACACAACTGAGATTAACATTTGAGATGGGATATTAGTAATTTTAATGTGGGTTAGCACACTATGCTCAAATTCAAAAGAAAATCAAGCATTGGTTTACTAATTTGCTGAGTTTGGGTCTAGTGCTAGAAGGGCTCTGGAAGCTACATGCAGCCTGAAAACCAAGGTTAAATATTTCACACCCATACTTATTCTCATCCTTTCTATTCCTCTTGTAAAATCTAAGCTGGTACCAAGAATATTTGTCGGCTTTTCTAACCAAGGGCTATGTGTATTTTTGAATATAGAAATACAAATTCAAGTGAATTCAGGGCTAACATCCTTTTATAAATGTTTTATGCAATTTTGCATGGGCACCATTGGTCTTAGACTTCCCTCTAGTGTCACTTTTAAATAATGTGCAATTTTTTAAAAAATAATCTATAATGATGTACAAGTAGGCTTTACTGAAGGAGATTGCACGGAACACATTTCCTCCTAAATTGTTTGCATATTTTGGATTTATGCTATGTTCTGATAGGGTAGGAATAAGAAACACAAATATTACAATATTTATAATATTGTATATTGCATAGTGATACAAAATAGTTTACTAATGTTCTAACTTTATTGTATATTTATATGCATTTGTATAAACACATTATTATTATTATTATTATTATTATTATTATTATTATTATTATTATTATTATTATTATTTATTTTAAATTGACATGTCATTTTACAGGTCTCCAGACAGTAGGCATATTCCGAGTTGGGAGCTCAAAAAAAAGGGTAAGACAGGTAAGTTTTTATCATTTCTCATGAATATCATGAAACTCACTATTTTATATTTATATATTTTGGTCAGTGTCATCTTTCATGATAGTCCTACTCTAAATATGTAATCGTAATACAACCAGGAAAATATCAATTCTTTTTAAAATGTGTTTTTTAGATCTGGAATCTTTCTTCTATATATTTCCAGTAACATTAGTGTCTGTTTTTAAAATAGTTTTCAATTTCTTATCTGGTACCTAAATGGTACAAGAAATATAAGACATCTGAATATCAGTTATGTATTGTCTTAAAATTACAATCATTTTTTTCTAAAACATTTTCTTATTTCCATATCAGTTTCAATTAGTATATTTAAAAGAAACAGGTTGTCCTGATAATTCTTTGAGCTAAGGTGGATTTGCTTCTATTTCTATGAAATATTTGATTAGATTCATTTTAATATGTCACTAACAAGTTATTAATTTAGATGATCATGTAAACCAGAAATAGGTAACCAGTTTTTAGATATTTTTTGTAACCATTAAGGCCAATGATCAGGAATGTGGGTATTATAACCTGCACCGTTTTATAAATTTTTGATTTAGTTTATTAGGAATAGACTACAGTCAAAATGACCATTCAAAATTCTAAGAGCTACAAATAGATTAATAATGTGCTTTAAATTAAAGCATTATTATAATTTATTATTACCTAACTCTTTTGCAATTATTTATTACAAAGTTTTTTATTTATAAAGTTTTATTATTATAAAAGTAGGGTTTATTCAGAGGTGAATAAAACACAATAACAAAAAAATGCATCTTGTTAAATCTAGACATGTAATGCAGTGGTAGAATTCATCTAATATGATATCAATTTGGAAGAATAACCTTTACTGTTATTTTCTTTTAATAATCCAACACCACTGGAATATTAAGGTTTTTATATTTCCTAAGTTCTTTGTATGCTGCAAATTTTAATTCTGAAATAAGCCCTTTTCCACAGAAAACAATATCATTACATCAATTTGTTCCGTGTAAAGAGAAAAATGCATAAGCCAGACTTGGGAAAGGGTCTGACTACAAGCTAAAACTATATCATCACCTTTTTTTAAAAAAAAAAAGTGTAATATAATAATGTAAATGTTTGACATGGCTTCTGTTTCTAGTTACGTGAAGAGTTTGACCGTGGTGTGGATGTAGTACTGGATGAAGAACAAAGCATTCATGATGTAGCAGCTTTATTAAAGGAATTCCTTCGTGATATGCCTGACCCACTCCTGACCAGAGAGCTTTACACTCCTTTTATCAACACACTCTGTGAGCAGTCTGTCTGGCTATATATGTCCGTCTGTCTACCTATCTGCCGATTTAAATGGTTGATAAACTGCCACCCTTATAAATCAAAATCAGTTTAAGATTGTGCTTATCTTTATTTAAACTCTGCATTTCATGCAGATCATGGGCATGTTTCTGATTCCAGTGATTCATAATGTACGAGTGGTCACTTTCTTTATATTTTGACATGGAGAAAAATTTAAGCTGTCAACTTAAATTGCCTGATATGTCTCAGTGGATTGGTTTTCAAAATTAGATTGGGGATAAAATACTAATTAAAATGGTTCATTTAACAATCATCTTCATTCTGTCTTATAATAATTTAATGTATAGAATGCTAAAAGAGGACTAGGGAATTCAAAATAGTCTACATGTTTTGATCTTTGGATCACATATATTTTGGTTATGATAATATTATATACAACGCCGCTGAGTCATCACATCTCACAATGTTATGGAAGGGTTTTGGGGTTTTTTTTATACAATCATATCCAATTTTTGGAGACTAGCCGGACAAGTACCTGCATTTTTCTTGGCATGGTTTTTCAGAAATGGTTTGCCATTGCCTCACTCTGAGGGCTGAGAGAAAGTGGCTGGCACAAGGCTTGCATTATGTCTAAAGCAGGATTAGAATATGCATGGTTCCCAGTTTCTGGACTGTTGTCTTAACTAGCACACAAAAATTGGCTCTTAGGTTTTTCTACACCCCCCTAATATAATAACTGAATATTCTAAAACATTTAATATTTCAGATGTTACATAGGTGTATTTGATCAATGAAATGCCTGAAAATATTAAAATGTACAGAAAACTGAAATAGCTGATAATAGTGTTACACAAAGTAGTGCAATTAATAAGTGTATTTCATTTTTTTTCTTTTTTAGTAATGGACCCCCATGAACAATTAAATACTCTGCGACTTCTAATTTATCTTCTACCTCCCTGCAATTGTGACACCTTACATCGACTCCTTCAGTTCTTAGCTACTGTAGCCAGCCATGCAGAAGACAGAAAAGATGAAGATAGCCAGGAAGTAAGTTTATTTCATTGATTTTTATTGTGAAATTAGCACTGCAGTTCACCTTGAAGCAAAATGGATGGCAAACAAATCAAATAATTAAATAATAATATTTTGATCAGCAGTATGATAAGGAATACAGTTAATGAACCATCTTATGAACTATTTCTAAGCAAGGCATAATAATTTAGGTTTAATTCAGAGTATATTTGGTTTTATTAATCATCACTTGCTTTAATTGACTTAACTATGTTTGTATCATTCTCTCTTTTATTCATGCAAAAGGATTATTCCTGCATTCAAAAACTTTTAGAACTTGCAGGTTTCTTGAGAGAAATACCACCCCTCAAATTCCACACATAACTTAGTGTGGCTCCTATTGATTCCCCTTGGTGGAATGCTCTTTCTATATGGCACAAAGTGATTTAGAAAAGGCAGGATCCTAGCCAGGTTAGCTAAACCGAAACTACCTACACAAAGTGCTAGGAATCCATTGCCAGTTAAATTGTACAGCATTTTATTTCTTTTCTTTTTAGATCCCTGGGAACAAAATGACATCACTCAACCTAGCCACCATATTTGGACCTAATCTGTTGCACAAGCAGAAGACAACAGACAAAGAATTTACTGTTCAAAGCACAGCACGTGCTGAGGAGAGCGCTGCCATTATTGCTGTTGTACAGAAGATGTTAGAAAACTATGAAATGCTCTTTATGGTGGGTGAAGATTTCCTCCCTCTTTTTACATTTAACAGAGTTTTTTTGTGTAGAATAATTTTTAGTTTAGTCTTTACTTTTTGAAATTGGACACTACGTAATAGTGTCTTTTTTAACACTTAAAAATATTCACTCGTGAGACAATGTCTGTACAGTGAATAAATAAATTGGACCATAACAAACAGAAATGAAAATTTGGCATGGTGAACTACTGGTAGCATAACAGTTGCTGGTAAAAGAAGGCCCCTGATTATTTTGCTACATCTTGGGTGGTGTACAATAAAAGGTTAAAATAAATAAGCAGTTTTTAAAAATTAAAAGTTTGTAATTAAAATTTTGGAAAGAGGCAAAAATAATTAAAGCCTGTTAGAAAGGCAAATTGGGGGCTTTTCTGTCTCTGTCTCTCAATAATGGACAAATACAGTATAATTTCAATTTTCTTAAGTTTTAAAAATTTGTGGATAATTTCAGATACAGAAATATGGCTTTGAATTATGTTAATATTCATAAGAATATAGTTTTTATTAATGAGGATATGTACAGGTGACTATGTTTCATGCATTTGTTTAGCATTTATGTATATACTTACCTTATAAATGGGGAAAGGAATTAATTAGCCTGGCCATTTCATTTATAATAGATTCGTTTTCTTATCTTTTTCTTATTTCATTTTAACTTGATGTCTAAAAAGAATTGCATGAAATTTGTTTGCCTATTTCCTGTAGCAATTACCATATAAATAATCTTGTAGCTCTTTGAAAGGCAAGCTAAGTGGTTTGCTGGATTATAAAGTACTTATTTTATAAATATGAAAAATGATTAAAGATAATGGAAAGTATATTTAAAGAAAGGTGAAGTATTTTGTATGTTATTTAACTGGAGTAGATTGTATTACATTTGTGATTATATTAATTCATATTTAAAAATAGAGGTGTATCCTTTTGCTATTTGTTTTTTGATGTTTCATTAATGTATAGGTCCCAGCAGACCTTCAAAATGAAGTTCTAATTAGTCTGCTTGAGACTGATCCAGATGTTGTAGACTATTTGCTGAGAAGGAAAGCTTCCCAGTTATCGTGAGTAATTTGTTAATTTTCTTTTATTTGCCTCTATTAGGGAAATGTTGATCATAATTTATCACGTTTTATAATAGTTGTCCAAAGGCTTTTTATTTCAGAACCCCTGGCATATGTACTTAAATAACACTATGAACAATATTAACCATGATGAAGTTAATTATCTACCTTTTTAATAAAATGCTAGTAATAATAACCCTAATACCTTTAGAACAATCCTTTAATGATTTTTATATGAATACCTTAATTTTCAAGCCTGTTTTAATAAAACTAACTTAAGTTAAATGTCTAAGATTGTCCAAGCCTTTAGTGCTCCATCTGTGCTAAAACCCTGGGTTTCATGCATCATGGCAAAGGTGCAAATGTGTCTGCAGTGAGAATTTTCTGGGCTGATGGTACATCTAACATTTACATTGTAATAGAATTTTAAATAAACGATTAAACAGAAGGTTAGAGTGTTGCTAAGAATTGAACTCCAGCATTTAGTTCTAAAAATGCTTCTGGTCCCAGAAAGAGCAAAGAAGTGTTTTAGCCACTAAAAATGATAGCCAGACTGCAGCACAGTGCTTTGTTGGGAGGTGTGCCTATCTGTCTAGAAAAAAGACTAATCAAGACCAACTGTCCAGGATGTAGATTAACTCCTGGAAAGCTGTGTGAAGTGACACCTTAACAGTGTGACTTTGAGTCAGTGTTTTGTATTTGGTCCTGTCCATGATAATATACCATTTGTAAAAGTGCCTCTAAATGCTTTTACAATTCAAAACGAACCAAACATTTGGGAATCTCTCTTAATGAACTTAAGCTCTATTCTTCTACCTTTTATAGCTATGATATAGCTACAGTATGTGGGCACAGAAATTCCAGTGGATGAGATCTTTCCTCTTGCTCAAAAATATCTCTTAAAAGTTTATTCCTATTCAAACAAAAATATCTACTCATATTGCTTAATTTAAGAATATTTAATAGTACAACTGCTCAAATCTGTATAGAGCCTCACAAACAGATGAAGTCAAGTAGATAATAGCACTTTGGTGTCTTATTTTAGCAAATGATAATTGACAGATATAGCCATCTGATACTGGGAATAGTGTCCTTATTTTCTATGTTCAACTTTGCCTTAGTATGAAAAAATACGTGCACCATGGCTGCTTTGTATGCATATTATTTTGTTCTACTTTAGAAATGAAAGATGACACTTTACTTCCTTAAGCCCTGATCCTTTATTTATTCTTAAGTCATCATTTAAATCACCTGAGAAGAAATATACCTTTTCAACATTTTCCAATAAATCATTGGGAACCACCTGTTGTAATTCACAGTTGATAGGACCAGTAATTATGCTATTAGTTTCAACAAGAGTATTCAATGTTTGAAAATGACAGAATTGTCACTTTAGTTTTGTTCTTCTCTTAGATGCCTAATTAATATTGAAGTGCCCAGGAATCATTTTTGTATGTTTTGATACTAGCATGTTTCCAGCTGTAACTGCGAAGTCATGGGAAAGAATTTGGCTAAAAGATTAGAGGGACAATTTATTCATCATGAAAAGAAAATGACACTCATAGGACACATCTTTTTTTCTGTGTTAATCTGGAGAGACGACTACATATTCACTGGGCTATTTTTCCTGATAAGCTGGAACCAAAAAATGAGATACATATGTCTTGGGACCATCTTAATATTCTTGATAATGGATTTCAAATCTTGACATGAAAAACTGTAACTCTGCAATGAGAAGGGAGCGTATGTCCACCAGTAATTGATTGCATAAGAAACTTCAGATGCTACTTGTAAAATGGGCATAGTGTCTTTCTACATAGACTTTTCTCTTGATCAAAACACTTTCTTGAACCTACTTTTGCTAATAACTTCACTACTTCACTGTTTTTCCTTTTAACTGGAAGATTATCTGCTCAGTCACAATGAAACAGTACAACGTTATATAACTGCTTGCTACTAACAGTACAGTGCTGACAGCCTACTTCTAGAGTCTTCTTATACTTTCTAATATGGCTGGATTTGTCACAAATTGATCTCTAACTCATACTAATCTAAAATTAAATCATCATTTGAAAATGAAACCAAGATTCTTGCTGTGACGGATCACTTGTTAAATCCTAAGTAGAGCATGGAATGGCCAGTTTAAATTCTCAATCAGGGAATATTTTTGAGAAAAAAATACTTTTTGAAAAAAACCTATAATGTTCAACATTTACTCAAGGTAAGGTATAATTTGAAAGCTTTTATAAAGTTTTATTTTATTAAAAGCAGTATTTAAATGGACTGTCCTTTGTTGTATGGTTATTGTTTGTCGCAGGTGCCTTTTTTCATTATATTTCCTCAATTCATTATACTGTACTCAGTAATCTACAAAACACTTCCTTTGTTACATTCAGACTTACAACATGTTCTTAAAGCTCTCTTTTTTAAATTAGAATCTTGGATATAATTGTCATTGATATAATTTAAGAGTAATTTCACCTACATTGTATTGAATCCCATCCTATAAGTATTTACTATTAAGGCAGTTATTTTCTGAAATCTTTAGTTTAATTCTATCCACATATTGTTCAAATATATTGTTCTCTACATGGGCTAAGTTTTATTAACTCCTCTTTATATTTCATTTTATCAGAAGCCCTGAAATGCTTCAGTCTGAAAGGTCATTCTCCATAGAAGGTAGACATTCATCCATAGACTCAAACCGAACCTCAAGTGGCGATATATCACCATATGACAACAACTCTCCAGTGCTGTCTGAAAGATCTGTTTTGGCAATGCAAGAAGATATGTCCCTTACTTCTGATAAGTTACATAAAGTACCAGAACAGAACACAATAGGTAGCAATTTTCAGCTAAAATCAAAAGAGAATTCCTTTGGTATGATCAGCATATATAATAACTATGAGCATTCATTGTTTCTAATATCATTATGAATAATCTTTTATAGTAAAATTATTTTTATTGTAAATACCTGTTTTTCTTAGTGAATTGATTTCCTTAACAGAATAGAGTCAGACTGCTAAGATTGGATAGATACAATTTATCAATTTAAATTGCAGTTCCTAACAACAAATTTCTGACTTTAATTTAAAGATTGTCTGAGAAAACATTGTTTTGAAAATGTTTGATAAGATTTTATAAATATCCAAACAATATCTGCATCCAGGTGAAAAGATTATTGCAATTAAAAAGTGTCTTTATACAGAATGTTCTTCAATTGTACTAAAAAGATTCAGAATTCAGTAATACAGAAGTTCATATATCAATTCAGATGTACAAAGTCAACCCACCTGCTAATACAAAATTAATTCCATGGATTGTTAAACTAAAATTATAATGGCATAATTATGTCTGTGATTAAGTCATAGTTTTAGTGTTCTACTATATGAACATCGCAATATTTAACCTGCATAATATCAGTGCAGAAATGCAAAACATTTAAAAAATGAAATCAATTCTAATTCTTTGCAAATATTTTGAATTATAGGTGTTGTACTATCTTGAATTTTATCTTTGAATTTTTGAAAATCACATCTTTCATTTTCCAATTGAGGAATGTTTGTGAACCTAAAGAAAATTATTTTGCTTAAAAGTGGGTCCCAATATTTAATACTCCTTTTCATCTGAGAATTTCATGGAGTCATTCACATTGGGGATCTAGTTGTCTGTATTGTAAATAAATCCACTGAGGTAGCAAAAGCTCTTGACATTAAACTAAAACATTGTTTAGATCCTAGCTGTTGTTTCTGTTCTTTGGTTATGACCCAGTAAGATTTTAGCTTGATATCAAGAGCTTTGCTACCTCTGGCTGCCTTGTCTTCTTATGGCAAAAGTAAATTGCAATTTTATTATATGCTGATAGTGTTTCTATGCTGATAGTGTTTCTATCACAAATGTCAGTTGAAATGAGGGCTGCATATCCTAGGCATTAATTTTTCTCAGGAAGTACTTGAAATTAGTTATACTAAAACTAAGATCTTATTTTTGGCAAAATAACCCAGGGTCCCTAACCTGACCATAGAACTAATCAAAATATTTAAATATTTGGGTATGGTTTTTAAAATGCTACCAAATACGTTACACTAAAATTATATAATTCAAAATGCACAAAACTTAGTGGTAGTAATGCAATCCTTCTGCTTTACTAGATATATAGCTTCTTTACCCCTCTGGAAAGATTCAGTTTAAGCCCTTATATACTACACTGCTCAAAAAAATAAAGAGAACACAAAAATAAGACATCCTAGATCTGAATGAATGAAATATTCTTATTAAATACTTTGTTAATTACAGAGTTGAATGTGCTGACAACAAAATCACACAAAAATTATCAATGGAAATCAAATTTAGCAACCCATGGAGGTCTAGATTTGGAGTTACACTCAAAATTAAAGTGGAAAAACACACTACAGGCTGATCCAACTTTGATGTAATGTCCTTAAAACAAGTCAAAATGAGGCTGAGTAGTATGTGTGGCCTGCACATGCCTGTATGACCTTCCTACAATGCCTGGGCATGCTCCTGATGAGGTGGCAGATGGTCTCCTGAGGGATCTCCTCCCACACCTGGACTAAAGCATCCCCCAACTCCTGGACAGTCTGTGGTGCAACGTGGCGTTGGTGGATGGAGCAAGACATGATGTCCCAGAGGTGCTCAATTGGATTCAGGTCTGGGGAATAGGCGAGCCAGTCCATAGCATCAATGCCTTCATCTTGCAGGAACTGCTGACACACTCCAGCCACATGAGGTTTAGCATTGTCTTGCATTAGGAGGAATCCAGCGCCAACCACACCAGCATATGGTCTTACAAGGGGTCTGAGGATCTCATCTCGATACCTAATGGCAGTCAGGCTACCTCTGGCGAGCACATGGAGGGCTGTGCGGCCCCCTAAAGAAATGCCACCCTACACCATTACTGACCCACTGCCAAACCGGTCATGCTGGAGGATGTTGCAGGCAGCAGAACGTTCTCCACGGCATCTCCAGACCCTGTCACCTCTGTCACATGTGCTCAGTGTGAACCTGCTTTCATCTGTGAAGAGCACAGGGCTCCAGTGGCGAATTTGCCAATCTTGGTGTTCTCTGGCAAATGCCAAACGTCCTGCACGGTGTTGGGCCGTAAGCACAACCCCCAACTGTGGACATCGGGCCCTCATACCACCCTCATGGAGTCTGTTTCTGACCGTTTGAGCAGCCACATGCACATTTGTGGCCCACTGGAGGTCATTTTGCAGGGCTCTGGCAGTGCTCCTCCTGTCCCTCCTTGCACAAAGGTGGAGGTAGCGGTCCTGATGCTGGGTTGTTGCCCTCCTACGGCCTCCTCCACGTCTCCTGATGTACTGGCCTGTCTCCTGGTAGAGCCTCCATGCTCTGGACACTACGCTGACAGACACAGCAAACCTTCTTGCCACACCTCGCATTGATGTGCCATCCTGGATGAGCTGCACTACCTGAGCCACTTGTGTGGGTTGTAGACTCCGTCTCATGCTACCACTAGAGTGAAAGCACCGCCAGCATTCAAAAGTGACCAAACCATCAGCCAGAAAGCATAGGAACTGAGAAGTGGTCTGTGGTCACCACCTGCAGAACCTTTATTGGGGATGTCTTGCTAATTGCCTCTGCTTTCCACCTGTTGTCTATTCCATTTGCACAACCACATGTGAAATTGATTGTCAATCAGTGTTGCTACCTAAGTGGACAGTTTGAGTTCACAGAAGTGTGATTGACTTGGAGTTACATTGTGTTGTTTAAGTGTTCCCTTTATTTTTTTTTGAGCAGTGTATATTCCAGGTCTGACTAAAGTAGAAATGAGTGCAAGGATTTGTTTTAATTCCAATGGAAGAGAATACATGTAGCTCAGTGTTGAAGTATGGAGTCTCTGGTACTCTCTGATCATGGTTGTCTGCCTATTGACTGGAAGAGCAGGCTAATGAAGGCTCCCTTCCTCCCCTCCCAGTGTAAGCACAGCACAGTGGTCAGTAAAGCTATAACTCTGAAACAAGTATGGAGGAAGAGACCCACATTTTTTCTGCAACCAGCAACAAATAGAGAAAAGCAGCTGAATAAAAGAAGGCATTTTTTCCTTCAAAGGGAATGGATGGTTTGGAGGAATAAGAAATATAGAGGCACAACAAAGCAAAACACAATGTGAAAAGGTGCAAGTATTCTACATGCTGGCTATTAACAGAAAAAAAACAAGAAATTTCAAAAAGATGAATTAAAGCCTAAGGCAGAACAGGATTTATAGGAAGAAAGCATTACTGTAGTATAAAGTATAGCATTGTAATAATAATTGAATAGAATAAATAATAATAGTAACTGGTATAGTAATATAGAAATAATAGCAATAGAATAAAGTGGAATGTATTATAGTGGCAATAGAAAGCATCCACATATACATTTACAAGTTTCACATTGCACTTTTATATCTTTAAAAAAAAAACATTTCTTCAAGGATCTAAAAGCTATAAAAAAGAATAACATTACCACACACTAAAAACAACTTAGAAACGATCAAGACTACTGTAACCTCACAGTATCATCATAGCACACAAACCATCTAAAGCCTGCCATCTTAAGTAAACCAAAAGACTTAATAACCCAAGAAAGCTATGCAACGTACGTTGTAAGGATTATAAGAGCTGTTTGTAAGACAAACAGGCAGAACACTAGCAGAACATATCCATAAACACTAACTGGCAGTCAGAAGACATGATGAAACCTGCTTAATCTCACAACATGCGGCAGACTCAACCCTAGTTTCAATTGGGAAACTTATGAGCATCTTTGACCAATCTAAATCCAAAAACGCTAGGGAATTCCTGGAAGATTGGCATTCAGACAAATCAGCCATATATATCTGTATAGATTTGAGTTCTTGTCCTGTTATCTGGTTTGACCCAATTGCTACTGAGGAAGTGGACAGAATTCTAGGGAGTATGCGCGCAAGCATCTGTGTTTTAGACTCATGTCCCTCCTGGCTTGTGAGAGCTTCCTGGGGTGTGACAGGTGGGTGGACTTTGGTGGTGATTAATGCTTCCCTAGCCCCAGCACTTTAAGGAAACTGTGGTCTGCCCTCTTCCCAATTGGCCGTTGCTGGATTCCACCCTGTTGGATAATTTCCAATCTGTTTCCAGTCTTCCCTTTTGAGGGAAGGTTGTTGAGAAGATGGTTGCACGGCAGCTACAGAGGTTTCTAGACGAAAGAGATTATTTAGACCAGGGGTCGCCAATCTTTTGGACCTCAGGAACCACCAAACTCATAATTTTAAATCCCACAGACCAGAGACCCTGAGAAAATCCCAAAAAAAGTCTTCAGGAAAATTCCCCACCCCATTTTCCTACTGATCGATCATTCTTTATTTGGGATTGCAGGATATCATCTCCAGCTCCATTCTCAGGGGGAGAGAGAGACTTTTGGCTTCATGCAAGGAAAGCAACAGAAGCAGCAGAAGTCTTTCTTTCTCTCCCCCAAACTCCACCAGAAATGAGTCTCTTTGAGACTTGTTGCATTGGCACAGCCTCTTGGAGCCAGATGTCTTGCAGGGTCCCAAAGACTCATTTCTGGTGGAGTTTGGAGGAGAGAACGAAAGACTTTTGCTGCTTTCCTTGCATGCAGCCAAAAGCAGGAAAAGAAAAAAGCAACCTGGTGGCAAGGTAGGGCGAGTGGGGCAAGTTCCCCCCCTCCACCCTTTCCCCCCTCCCGTCACTACCTCATGTTGTTCGCAATGGAAACGACGCAAGCCTTGTGTTCCCACGGGCCATATGGGTGACGCAGCTTTGTGTTCCTGCACAGCCTGGATTAATTGCTTTGGGGGTGTTTGGGGGTGACATTTCTCTGCGGACCACCAAAATTTCTCACAGACCACCAGTGGTCCCCGGCCCACTGATTGGCGACCACTGATCTAGACCCCTACCTGTCAGGATTCAGGGATATGGGACAGAAACACCATTGGTCATACTTTGTTATGATCTCTGGCAGGGATGGGATAGGGTAGTACATCCAACCTTGCTCTACTTGACCTCTCAGCTTTCGATATCATTGACCATGATATCCTTCTGGAGCAGCTTCAGGGGTTGGGAGTGGGGGGCTATGTGCTATTCTGGTTCATTTCCTTCCTCTGTGGTTGCTTTCAATCAGTGTTAATAGGTGAGAGATCCAGCTCTAGCCCACTGCTTTGAGGGTTCCCTCAGGATTTGATACTCTCTTTGCTCCCATTCAACATCTACATGAATGTTGATGGATGATCTTACTGTTGGGTGAGAGCATCTGTCACCGTGGACTGAGATATCATCAATATACTGATAATACTTAGCTGTATATCTTAGTCCACGGTGAGTTAAGCAATGCTATGACATCCCTCTCACGGTGCCTAGAGGCTTTTAGGAACTGGATGTGGAGCAACGGGTTGAAACTGAACCCTGGCAAGACCAAGAAAGAATTGCTACCTATGGTCTTGGATGGGGTGGCACTGCCCCAAACAGATCCTGTGCATAATTGGAGGGTTCTCCTGGACTTGCGATTCCTGCTCAAAGAGCTGATGGCAGTCATGGCCAGGAGGGCCTTTGTGCAACTGCAGGTTTTGTGCCAATTACGCCCTTTTCCTGGACCAACAATCCCTACTTATGGTCAGTCATGCCCTAGTCACCTCCCGTCTTGACTATTGCAACATGCTCTACGTGGTGCTGCCTCTAAAAAGCATCTGGAAGCTCCAGTTGGTGCAAAAAGCAGCAGCCCGCATGGTTTTTATGCAGACCTCAGTATGGCCTTTCTTGCAGGAACTGCATTGGTTGCCAAATTTGTTTCTGGGTGCAATTCGAAGTGCTAGTTTTCACTTTTAAAGCCTTTCATGGCTTGATCCCAAGTTATCTGAGGGACAATCTTTTTTCAGTCACATCTACCCAACCCACTAGAGCAAAGAAGCAAGGAATGTTGTGTGTCCTGTCCCCTAAGGAGATGCATCTGTTGGGTCCCAGAAGAAAGGCCTTCTCTGTGATGGCTCCCTCTGCCTGGAACATCATCCTCCCAGCAATTAGATTGACCCTCTCTCACACTCCTTGGAAGGCCCTGAAGACATGGTTCATGGCAGGCCTGGGGAACTCAGAGCAAGATGGAGCCCATTAAATGATTAGTGATATTATGTGTTGTCATCTTTTTGTTATTTGTTTTATATGGTATTTTTATATCCTTGTAAGCCACCTTGAGTCACCATTGCAAGTAGGCGGCAATATAAATTTTTTAAATAAAGAAATACATAAACAAACAAACCACACAGACAATTAAAAAACTACAAAGGAGAACACAGTAGCCTACACCCAAAGAAGCAGGGATTCGCATCAGACAAACAAGCAGAAAACAATACCATAATCAAGGAATTACATAGAGAAAGCCACACACTGATTAGTACTGAGGATGTTACCTAATTGGATAATGAAACAACTGCAAGCAAACAACCAAACTCAGAGCACCAAGGACCCCACATTTGTATTGATGCCTAGCTAAATTTGTTGGGGATTTTTCCCCAGAGGGTCTAGGCAATTGACTCTTAGCAAATAATTATAAATTAATGAAGAAAATGAAAAAAAAAGTACAAAGTACAAAATTGCAGCCATCCTAATAAAGGGATAGGGTTGAACATTTCCTGCATTCAAATGTTAAAGATTTGAAAACTCATTTGGAACAGTCTGACTTAATCAAAATAATCAGTCCCCATTTTTTTAAGGTTAGCAATTTCTTTATTCAACTGTGTCCACTGCTATGTATTCCAAAGAGTATCAAAATCAGAACAGCTCTCAAGGGAAAATACTTAAAATTCCTTAGGGCTTAACATTGTGTCCTTGTGAAAAAGAAGATATTGAGTGCATATTTCATGTCCTTTTACATTGCACCTTCTATAAGGAAAAAAAGGTCCCCTTTATCCTTTAGACAGATCTGATTTATCTTTTTATTTTGCTATATTTGAAATGACAATTATTTTAACTACTTTGCTAGCTGACAGAATTCTGGTAGGTGGGTGTGGCTTGGTGGTCATGTGACTGGGTGGGCATGGCCAACTCAACATCACTCATGTCAAGGGGCACTTCTCCTTGCCTGGCCTCTCATGACAGTGGGAATGCTGCAACGGTCATAAGTGTGAAAAATGGTCATAAGTCACTTTTTTCAGTGCCATTGTAACTGAACAGTCACTAAATGAACTGTTGTAAGTCAAGGATTACCTGTACAAAAATATGAAAAGCTTCTTTGCTTGCAAAAAGCTGCCCTAAATACCAATCATTAATCATTAATCATTTTTAATCATTAGATTAAAAATACCTGCAAGCCAGAGTTACAAATCAGGCAGGGTGCCAGAGCACCTTGAGGAATGAAAATAGTTTAAATGCAGTGATAACTATCAAGCAGTCATCTCCTGCTCATAAAGTGAAACCCTTTAGCAGAGAGGTCATTTAAGCTCTCCAGAAAAAGTACACCCAAGAAAAGCAATCCTTAGATCCATTTGCACCACTTAAAGCTGGTCTCTCTCATCTCACAAGATATCCTAAGAAATCATCCAGATTTAAGGAAAGGTCACATGCCCCCCAGAAAGGCAATAAAAAAATCAGTGCCAAGCTTGCATCCTGCCTCTTGGAAGTATACCCCAAAAGGGCAGTGCCGCATAGTACTAAAGCAGTGAGGAAGACCCCCTACCCAGATAGAAAAAGAAACCATGAGGCAGGAAAAAATCAAACACAGTACAAATAATTAAATCACAACAGTAGCTGTTGCTTGTTGAAGCTGAATAGGGAAAATTATCCCATCAATAAACACAGAATTAAACTTCACCAAGCACAAAATTAACCTTCACCAAAAACCAGTTTTAGACCAAAAGTCAGAAAGGGTATGTAAACTCACGTTTGAATGTCAATTTTTCTAGCTAGCCAAGAAGCCTTGCTGAATGTCACTCATCTTGGTTCCCTGTCACTAAAATTATTTTTTCAAAGTGCTGATTGTCCAAGGAAGTATTTCCTCCCAACAGCAGTGTAAAAATCTTAAAACAACCCTTCCCCTTTAAGAAAGCCAAGCCCCAAAGTTCCGGAGTCTAGGCTGTCTGCCAAGAATGTAATAAGGGTGGAAAAAAACAAAAGGAGATTGCTTTTAATTACCAGTTCTCTGAACTGCTTAGAAAGTTAACAAGGGGTTCTATAGAACCGGTAGAATCCCACCCCTGATTGTCACTACTGCTTCTTCTTTCTAATTTCTAATTTCTATCTCTGTTACATATTAGGATCACTTACATTCATATTCCTTCTAATCTTATAGATGTGTCAGACGACTATTTCAGCATCTGGGGTACCTGGCATTCAACTCTGAAAAGTGATTCCAAAGGGCTGGGAATGACAGGTATACATATCGTTTCTCTTTCTACGCATCGAATAATTATCTGATTTGACTATTCATATATTAGTGCTATTTCAATATAGTATTGTACTAGAAGAGGACTACTAATTCTCTTTCTCCAAAAGCTATCCAATTTATAAACCATATAGTTCAGTAAACTATAGTTTACAAAAGTTGATATACCACATTAAATATGTTTGTTTCAGGAGTTTCCACAACAAACTTTTTTTTTTTGCAAACTTTCAGATATTATGATATTCAGTTCAAGGCATAACTGTCTGTAGAATATTTTACAATATAGAGCTATTGTATGGAAATGTGTCTATGTAAGTAATCAATAGTAATTCTAGATATCATTCCCAAGTCTGATGTAAGATTCCAATGCACATGTCATTGTAGATTATCTCAAAAATGTATGATTTGTTTTATTATTAATCATTCTCTCTGGTTTTTTAGGGTCATATGGAGACATCTATGAGAGCAGCTCCTTGCGGCCAGGGCACTGTTCCCTTTCTCAAGGGAGCCTATCGTTGTCTTCTCCTCAGTGGCAGGAAAGAAATACAGAGCTAGACAATGGAAAACAAGTCATCCGGAGGAGTCAGACAACAGCTGCCCTTCCTGGTTGCCGTTTGCATCCCCCTCTGTCTCAGGTGTACAGCATCCCACAGATTGAAGTAGGTAGAAGGAATTCCAGCCAGCCCAATTCAAAACATCATTCACCTGTAAGATATATAGAAAACTTGATGGAGCATGACTCAGGTGCAACTTGCCCACACGCTGCATTTAAGCCATCATCTCTAAGGCAAGCTGAAGTAATTCGAAAAGACAAACCACCACCTCCTTATCCTGAAACAGCAAAACAAAGCAGCTTATCATCCCTCCAGCCAGCAGTGTCTTCTACAGGGTATCCGTTGTATCAGAAGACAGACTTATCTGAGGCCCAGGGAATGAGGATCATGGCTCAGGTGCCTGAACAACCTGTCCAGCATGAGGAGCAACGGAGCCAAAATGAAAGAAAGTACTCCTTTCCAGACCGTGAGCAGAACAGTAAAAATTTGTCAGAGACAGACTGGCATGGGTGGCAAAGCGATCGATGGCAAATTTGGGAGATTTTATCACCTGACAATCCAGATGCACTCCCTGAAACATTAGTATGAGTGGAGAGACCAGCAGGCCTTTTCCAAGTAGGGAAAACTGGTAATAGTGGACTGGATTTATACTGAATTATTTTTTAAAGATATGTTTACTTTATGGAGTATTTTAAAATTAAATTTATTAAAAGAATTTTAATAGCAGTTGTAAAATTTAGTAACACATTTTTTGGGGTTTTGTAGAAGGAAATGTGAGATGGCAGTCCAAACTATTCTGTGAAATATAAGCTGTGTATACAATAAAAATGACCCTCTTGGTGTTGCTAAGATATATTTATGTGTCTGAAGCTCAAATGACTGTATATTAAGCAGATGTTTTATGTACAATTGCATTGTGTTTATATGCAAAAAATGATCTTGAATGCTTTTTTGAAAATATATTTTAATCATGCACTACTAATATTAATATACAATATATTGATATCATTGGAAATGCACAAACTGGTTTCTGTGCTTTTAACTAATTGTTTGTGAAAGACATATATTTTCACTGACAAGATGGAATGAGAACATTAAAAGCCATATATTTTATAATAAGGAAGTTAAAGAATATCTAACACACTATTTGCTTGCAAGAAAAAATTAATGAACATATATTTTTACTCTTTTAGAAAGCAATTCCAATCACCCCTTCATAAATACGTCCGTGTCTACACCATATACAGAAAGGTCCCAAATATTCTTCTACCCATTCCATATTAGACTTATAAAATTTGGGCATGGGTAAGGAAGTACAGGAGAGGGCGTTTATAAAGTTTTGTTAAGATAGTTTATATGACAAACCCTTTTAAATTTTCGGTATTTCTGTATAAATATGAACAAAAACGTGATCTGCTCTCAAGTCCTAAAACTAGATAAAAAGAACCCCATGAAATAAATGAGCCAAAAACCTTAATCCTTATATATTTATAAGGATTATAAATATAATCCTTGATGCAGTGGTTAGAGTGAAGTACTGCAAACTACTTCTGCTGACAGCCAGCTGCCTGCAGTTTGGCAGATCGAATCCCACCAGGCTCAAGGTTGATTCAGCCTTCCATCCTTCTGAGGTGGTAAAATGAGGATCCAGATTGTTGGGGGCAATATGCTGACTCTGTAAACCGCTTAGAGAGGGCTGTAAAGCACTATAAAGCGGTATGTAAGTCTAAGTGCTATTGCTATTCCTGTTATGGAAAATTATCCAAAGCTACACATTTGTATATAGTAAAACTAAGTAAACCTTTGCTTTTCAGTAACTTGGGTGCCCCTGTTGGAGAACAGAAACAGCAACTAAATGTTTTCAATAACTGTTGATCCTGCACATTGGTTGGAGGAATTCTAGCTTATTCCTTCTCAGAGAATACCTTTAGGCAGGGGTGGGCTTCGAAAATTTTAGCAAGGGGTTTGTCTGCCCAGTGGCTAGGTGGGCCTGGCCATGGTGGGCGTGGCCTAATCAGCCTCTTGCACCACAAGGGGGGGCATTTTTGCCCTCCCTGGGCTCTGGAGGCTTTCCTCAAGCCTCCAGGAGGGAAAAAACGGCCTCTCCAGACTCCTGAGGCTCCCTGGGCTCCTGAGGCTCTCTGGCCCATTTCCGGCCTTCCCAAACTTCCGGGAGACCTGTTTTTCGCCCTCCCTGAGCTTCCGCACACGCCCTGCACTTACCTGCATCCAAAATGGGCCATTTGGGGACTCCGGGGAGGGGAGGGGAGGGGAGGGGCCAGCCAGGAGTGGGATTTGGGGGTTCTCTGAACTGCACAGAATCTTAGCTAGGGGCTCCTCTGAATCCCTGAGAACCTCCAGCAGCCCACCCCTGCCTTTAGCTCAAGGATGGTAAGCTTCTTTGCATAAATAGTCCAGTCAGGTTCTTCCACAACCTTTCCATAGAATTACACTCAAGAATTTGATTTAGCCATTCCAGACTTTAATTTTCTTCTTTAACCATTCTTTGTTTGTACAACTTGAATACTTGGGGTCATTGTTTTGCTGCATGACCCATTTTTGTGAGCTTCAGTTCATGGACAATATCCTGGTATTTTCCTGAAGAATTTGCTGGTACAATTCAGAATTACATCAATGATGGTACACTAACTTGGTCCATAAGGTACAAAGGAGGCTCAAATACCACTACCATGATTTACAGATAAGATTCTTACATTACAATATAGTATTTGCCAAACAATGCTTTTCAATCAAGCCTAAAAGTTCTGTTTTGGTCTCACCTTTCCATAAAACATTATTTCAATAGACTTCTGGCTTATCTATGTGGTCTTTTTCAAATTTTAGATAGCAATAGTAATAGCATTTAGAACACATACTGCTTCACAATGTTTTACAGCCCTCTCTGAGTGGTTTACAGAGTCAGCATATTGCCCCCAACAATCTGGGTCCTCATCTGACTGACCTTGGAAGGATGGAAAGCTGAGCCAACCTTGAGGTGAGAATTGAATTGCCAACTGCAGACAGCTGGTAGTCAGCAGAAGGAGCCTGCAGTACTGCATTTTAACCACTGCGCCACCACGGCTCGAGATGAGCAGCAATGACAGCTTTATTTTTTTATATCTCTCCTTTGTATGAACATTGACAACTTTCTACATACCCAGAATCCTGTACTTTAAATAAGGAAGGACCACCCACATTCACACTTGATTATCATCCCATGGATTGAAATATCTGATTCTTAATTTCCCCTTCAAATGAACTGATTATCCTAAAGGTTCATATACAGGTTTTTGATCATTCTCCAATAAACAAATGAACAAATATAGTGCTTTGACTCATTCATTTAATTGTGTTCTTTTACCTAGTTTTAGGACCTTTGTGGAAAACAGAAAATGTTTTAGGACATATCTGTGCAGAGATATTAAAAATTCAGAAGAGTTCACAAACTCTTAAGCTCCACTGTACTAAATGTTTTTATATGTATTCATGGGACCTGGAATTCTGACAATTAACTAAAATATTTTCCTTTTTTAACCAACAATTTTCCATATTCACAATTCCTAAAATATTGACAGAATTCCACAAGATGATTCCAGTGCAATGTTGTATTTTTTAAATGTTAATATTCTGTGCTTTTAAAAGTTTTATTATCATTCAGCATGGGAGAGGTCCACCTGTTAATTCTTTTATTATAAAAATTGTTTCCTTAAATTTCAGTGGGATTTTATCTAGTGGTGTCTTTTAAGTTATATCTTGTGCAATAGAATAAAAGACTTGCAGAAAAAATTGTTTCTATTTATTAAGTAAGCATTTTGTACATATAATCCATGAAAAATAAATACTGTAAACCGCAGCACATAATTGTTATTTGAAGGGACGAGGTAATTGAAAGCTTTCGATTAAGGGACCATTTCAATGGAAACATCATGTGTAGATGTTTCCATGTGAAGAGCAGAATAGAGAACTGGCATGCTTCTTTCTACTTACTATGATCTCTTTGGGCTCTTGCATTCTTTTTTTAAAAATAATTTTTATTAAAACAATTTTTCTTATATGCAACATCATTTCCATTCATTACAATGCTTTCGTGACAGTATACATACTTTTACATAAATCTTAACACTATATACACTTGTCTATGTTGCTTAATCTATCTTTATCCACTATATCTTTTACCTTATTGTCTTCTTCTCTGTTCAACTTTATGTTTATTATTTAGTCAATCATACAGTACATTCCACGTCAAGTAATAATCCATTTCCTCTCTTTCCTTTATCTCCATGGTCAACTTATCCATCTCGGCACACTCTAGTATTTTTCTTATCACATTTTCCTCTGGTGGCATACTATCATTTTTCCAATTCTATGTGTAAGTTATTCTTGCTGCCATTAATAAATGTAGCATTAAATACTCTTGTTTTCTTATCATATTTTCCCATTATATCTCTGGTCTTAATTCAATTTGCTGTTTAATTATTTCTTCTATACATTTTTTTGTCCTTATCCAATATTTTCTCGCATTCTCTTGCATTCTGTTTCCAAAACAATAAAGTTATAAATAAACTAGAGTTATAGAATAACTCTAGAGCTATAGAAAGTTATAGAACATATGCCCTTAATGCATCATCACACCTTGACAATTTGCAGCATCAAACAAGTAATTTAAATATCTAGCAATACTGTTTCAAGCCTCAATGTCCTCGTCCAGCCAATTGTGATCTGTATCCTTGTAAGCACAATTAGTTCTATTTTACAGTTCCATACCAGCAATAACTGAGATAAAGTTGGGAATTACCTGTTTTCTGAAGTGCAGATTTGCATCTATGGCAATGTGACTGAAATCTGTCCAGTCAACAAATTCCAAGCTGTTATTTTACATGCCCAGATGTGCTTGCAATTCCTTATTAAAACTAGAAAGAGGCTTGAGTTTATTAGAAATCTGAATCTGTTCCTGACATTTGAGATCACAGTAGCCTTTTGGAAAATCTTTAGATTATTTGGCTCATAAAATAACTTTATGCCATTATAGTCAATTGAAATAAAATCTAATTTAAGACTAAACTTTCCATGCAATATCTGTCTTGGATATAAACTAGCTCAGTCAGAAATAAAGCATCAGATTACAATAATGCTTGCTTAACAACAGCTTGTTCAATGACCTAAGTGACAATGGTGATGAAAAAGGAGATTTATAATCAATTTGTGAATTTGCAGCTATTGCAGCATCCCACAATCATGATCATAATTTGGATGCTCGACAATCAGTGCATTTATGACAGTTGCAGCATCTGTCACATGATCACCATTTATGTTCTTCACATGGCTGTGATTTGCGATTTCCTGCAGCTTCCCCATTGACTTTACTTGGCTCCCAACAACCAAAGTCAATGTGGAAGCTGGCAGGAAATCATAAGTTACTGCTATGTGACATTGTGTTTAATGACTGCAGTTGGAACTGACATAAGTGGGGCATGGTTGTGTGCTGTTTCACTTTTTGACCACATTGCTTAGCAGTGGAGTTGCCAGTCCCAATTGTGATTAGTAAGGAAGGCTACCTGTATTAATCGAGATTTAAAAAGGGATCTAAGCTTTGTTCCACAAATACTACATTTCAGGAATGTAAGGGGAGAGCAATTCACAGCAGCCAATTTTTTGCTTGACATAAAAAATTATTTTCTTTCCGGCTTTATAGAAAATAAATTCCACAGTCTTCAAGACAAGGTCATTTAAACTTAAATTCTTTAGAAATAATCACATTCACCATATTTTATTTGCTGCTCCTTTCATATAAATAAAGGTCTAATTATACTTCTTTTATCTCCAGTTACATTGGAACATCTTTTCTCCCACTTAGTAGACACTTCAAGGTTGATGATTTCCAGAAGAAGCTAAATTTCAGTCAATTGCCATTGTTGTTAGTTGTAAAATAGATGAGTCACTCCTGTTTAAAATGTAAGGGCTCAGGTAGAATTTTAAACCTCAGTTGTTATGGTTTTGGAGTACAGTTAAAGTTAAGTGGCGGTAAATAATTTTATATTCATTATTTATACCTGTCTCATTACAGCTATCACTTTAGTAATCAAAAGTTTTAAACCCTTGGTGTACCTGTATTTAGTAATAGTTATTTGTTTTGATAAGTCTTGAATTAGCATTGGGTATTTTTAGTGGTTTTCATATTTTTACAGTGTTTTATATTTTACTTAATTATCATAAAAATGTACTTATCATAAGAAAATATTCTGATTGAAACCCAAACTTTTTGCTGCAAAGCTTGACTCTTATTTTCATCTTTCTAAAAAAAATTTTTTAAAATTTATTAAGGTTGTTTGCCAACCATCTTACCATGAAATGACTCTAGGTGGCTTACAATGTTTATTGTCTTAATTTCAGAGATGGACTGAACAGGCCAAGAATCTGTTTTCAAAGTATCCCATTTAAAATAGATTGCTAAGAAAGGTTCTGTTTTTTCCCTTCATTTAATGATTTCCTGCTATACTACAGATGTTATACAACAGCACTGAGCCTAAGGATTGATTCTGTTCAACCAATC